GTTCGTTTCGTCGATGAATAGATGTGTCGTTTCATCGTTGAACGAATATGTCGTTTTATCGATGAACGAATATATTGTTTCATCAATAAGTGAATGCCTTTATTATTTTTCTTTGTCCATAAAAGTACCCAGAGAAATGTGTAGATATTAATATCATGTGATTAAATATATTCTATCATTTTATATGAGATAATGAGACTTTGGTTGTTTTTAAATTTCCAAAAGCATTGGTTAATTTGAAGTTGCATTATGAAAGTGGGTTCGTGGGTTAATATGAATTTGGCACGAACAAGAATATCTTCACTATAAACACAATACAGATAATTATGAGTATCAAAAATTTCAACACGAATATTACTTGTTTATTGCACACGTGGACACAATACAACAAGAATGATTCATTAATTAATTTTTTTGAATTAAAATTACTTAAGTATTCTTAAATAAATAAATAGAATAAAATAAGTGGGATAGATATATAATTAAGTAATTATTTAATTTAAACAAGTCATCATAAACATAAATATTCTTAATATAAGCACAATATAATTTTTTTGGATTATTTTTCAGTCGACACAAATTCAAATACGGGTTGATATGAATATGGAAAATTTATATCCCGTTGGTTGGTGGTGTTAAAAATTAACACCTCTAAATAATATAATGTATATGAAATAAGTTGAAGAAACTAATAACTTTTCTCTGCTAATTCTTTCTTTATACAAACTCCAAAATAAAAATTTCAAAAATTTCTATCCTCCCTTATTTATTTTATTAATAAATTATACTTTTTTATTTTTTTTTATGGAAATGGTGAGGTAGATATTGTCCCTTCACATAAACGCGTTTTGAACTCACATCTCCGCCGTTGCCATTTCTCTACGAGACAAATAAGCCATTTTCTGTCTTTATTTCCTTATTTAGCCATCTGACATAATATTTTCCTTTTCTTTCCATTCATGATAAATCATTAATGACTATCAAACAGATACCGAGTGTTGATATTATATCAAGTGTTTGCAGGCGCAAAAAACGCCAAAGAAAAAACTAACAAATCCAACAAAACTAAATAAAAGGAGCAAATATATGCAATGCACGGGACTCACGTGGACCGCCCAGAGAGGAGGAGAGAGAGAGGTAAAAGAAAGTGAGAGAAAAGGATTATGAAATTAATTTCCCAATAACAGAATCTATCACACATGTGTAAAATATGATAGAAAACAAAACTGAACAAAGAGATTGAGATTGTATATGTGGCCAGCTTGTTGCCACGGGATAATTATCAATAGTCTCAAAATTAAGGTTGTTGGAACAATGTACCAAAAAAAAGTTGTTGCACCAAAATGGTTAAAGAAATCAATATAATATATAATAAAGAGAATTGAGTTTATAAAAAAATTTAATTTTTTTATATTATACAAGATAAATTTATCTCTTATATACATATTAAAGTGTGTAGAATTTACGTGAGGAGTAGAGAGAGAAAAAGAAAAAAGAAAATCTATATACTTTTATGGGAGTTACTAATCTCGTGTTGCTTGAGATAGTTCTCTTATGTGTATGAGATAAATATGTGGAATCCACACTTTAAAATAAAAGAAAAAAGAAATGGAAAAAATTAGCACAAAATTTAATAAGTGTATAACATGATATAGCTATCTTTAACGAAATGAGAAAAATATTTCCCTCCTCTTATATATATATAAAAAATATCTTCTATATTATTTTATGAGAAATAATAAACCTAATAACTATATAAAACGTCATGCCACTTTAAACCAGAATACAACAATTTCAAAAAGGGATATATTTTTCTTATGTTGTAGGAAAAGAATTACTTCATGTTGTAGAAATAAAAGTATAAGTGGGACCCACATGTAAGAGGAGAGAGAAAAAAAAAGTGGTGGGACCCAACCCTTTTTGTGTGTGTAGGAGAGATGTTTATCTCATGTAAAATGAGATAAACATAACCCTTTCAAAAATCGTTGATAAAAGGGTAAAGCAAGCTTACGTGTTCAGATGCATGGGAGACAATATCCAGAGCTCCACGGCTTTGTGGTCCGTGCATAGAAAATAGGGAGGAGAGAGAGAAAAGAGAGAGAAGACCCGGAATCTTATTTACTAGCGCCATACTCTTCTATTTTTTGTCACTTATGAAATTAAGGAAAAAATATCTTTTTAAAAGATATAAAATTCGATTTTTTCTAAGAGAGATGAAAATAAATTATGAGAGTGTGTAGGTTTTTTTAATATAAATTTAAAAAAAAAATTCTATCTTTCTCTTAAAAACAGTTAACTTTTTTTTTATACAGGTGAGAATTGAACATATAATTTATAATGTATTATATTCTCTCGTGTTAAAATTTTACATAATCTGGTCATGTGAATTTTTTTTTGTCTATCTCTCTTCATTAATAAAAAATGGTCCTCACCTATTTAATGCATGTAAAAGAGGAGATAGATACAAAAATTTCACTTGATGTGAAATTTTAACATGAGAGTATCTACTCCCAATATAATCTATCCAAATTCCTCACTATTAGATCAATTTTAACAACTTAAAAAAACCTAATTTTATGTCATTTAAAAGAACATATGTTTATCTACCAAAAAAAAAACACACGTTTTCCCCCTTAAATTAATTAAGAAATGGTGGTCCTTAAAATATAAGGTGTACTATATATAGATGAACCGTTGCTTGTCTCTATATATCAGGCTTTGTTCACGTTGATACATACTTCAATCCGGCCTTTTGACCTTGGTAGTGTTGTTTTTGTAATGTATGACTGGAATAATTTGTGGGTCAAAAGTTTTGCCAATATAATGCATAATAACGCGGTTGGAGAACTGACGTTTAAGGACGTGATAGAAAGCATACCGCGTCCTGTACAATTTTTTTGGCACGATCATCAGAGCTCCTAAGACGTGATACCTTACCTACCACGTCCAGTACAGGCCTGTCAGTGCTTTTAAGACATGATACCTTACCTGCCGCGTCCTGTGCAAAATCATATGTATAAGTTTAGGGTTTACCGTATATCTGAAGAATCAAGATTTATAAGTTTTTATCTGATTCACCACAAAAAGAGAGGTTAACATTTATTACTTTTTCTTTTGTTTATTATTCTCTTTCAAAAAATATATGTCTTTCTAAAGTATAAAATATGTGTTATTTTAAATAAAATAGTAGTATTTTATTTAATATTTAAATTTATAAAAATCTATCAATAACCTTTCACTCTCACACACCATGGTTTTTTATTGTGTAATTATTTCTCTCACTATATATAAAATATAATAATTTTAGTTAAAATAACCCAATATTATATTTTTTTTTTAAAAATAAATATTTTTCCCATTCTGTTCAGCCTTCAAGATATTTATAGGTAAGTATTAGATAGTTAACAATTTTATATTTATTTTGACGTATTAAAATGAAATTTAATTTGTAAAAAGTAATTAAATTTTTCAAAGGATAATATATATTTCTTAATTTATTTTTTGAATTTATTGTTAATTAATTATGCATATATTGTTTACAATTTTAATTTTTTTAATTTATATTTTTTAAAAATTTTCTTAAATTAATTATGCATATTCCATTATAATTTAAAATTTTCAAAAAATATTTTAATTTATATTTTACCTAAATTATATAAGCGTCTATTTTTATTTAATTATAAAATAGGCAAATAACACCCCTTTAATCATATTCTGTTTTTGGTACAATTAGACTACAAGAAATATAAATATTCAATAGTAATATTAATTCGATATACAGGATGCAAGACTTTTTCTTCTTATTATTTTATATGGGATTTGTTTTCTCATTTAACATGAGATAAACTCATTTTTCTACACTCACATTTTGAGTAGTGAGATCTATTTATATTTTTTTTCTCTTCTATTCTCTCTCCTCTTTCCCATATATGTAAGTATAGGTAAATAAGTTTATCTCATGTTGTATATATCTTAAAAGCAAAGAAGGAACGATTCAATGTATCATGTTTTGCACAGGACGCGGAAGGTAAGGTATCATGTCTTAAAAGCACTGACAGGCCTGTACTGAACGTGGTAGGTAAGGTATCACGTCTTAGGAGCTCTGATGACCGTGCCAAAAAAATTGTACAGGACGCGGTATGCTTTCCATCACGTCCTTAAACGTCAGTTCTCCAACCGCGTTATTATGCATTATATTGGCAAAACTTTTGACCCACAAATTATTCCGGTCATACATTACAAAAACAACACTACCAAGGTCAAAAGGCCCTTCAATCCAGTATGAGTTAGAAAATAAATTTTTATATAACAATTGTTTTTTTAATGAACTCATTAAAAAAGAATTAAATTAATAGTCTTAATTACTCATAAATATTTGAGTTACTGAGTTATTAAATTTTAAAAGCGAATAATGTATCATTTCACTTTTAAACCTCAATTTACTTTATTTTATTTTTTGTCTTTTCAATCGGTTCCTGGCGATTCTACCGAGATCACTTCTAAACCTCGACTTTAGTGCTTGACTCTTTAAAAATATTTTTATCGCCTTCTTTTCCGGATTATTAGGTACTAGACTAGACAATGAAAAGTTTCGGTCTCGAAAATCAACCCAAAAAACTTCAACGCAGTTCGAAAAAGAAACACTGAAAAAAGGATTTACGGGGCTAGTGAGAACTTGGTCAAAATTGTTAAACCAATTTCAAAATGTTAAGTGCATATTTACATAAACGTAATAATTTATTTATTTTACTAAAAAGTAATTAATTAATTATTTTACATTCTACTAAAGAGAGTAGGAACATTCAAAGCATGTGAAGAAATTGCAGGATCATCCTCTTTCAATCCTAACGTGAATTCACAACCACACAAAACACAACAGCTCCACACAAGAAAATCTTCCCGCTCTCGAGGCTATAAATAGGGCATTGAAGCAAACCACAATAGGCATAAAAAATCTGAACCTAATAAGAGTTACATTCCATTTCTTCCCCAAAACCAGTATGGCCAGGCTAGTGAAATCAATTCTCCATCTTGGTGGCAATGGCCATAACCCGTTAAACATGTCTGATGAGCACATCTTGGAGGAGATTTATTCAACCCATGTCCACAGCGATACTAAGTTTGACGTGGACTCTCTTTTCAAACTTGTCGAAAACATCCTTAAGCGATCAACCCACATTGTTGACAATGTTGTGCAAGTATATGCACCTCCACACTAAATCCTTTTTTTATGGATGATTTTGTGCATTTTTTTTTGGAAAAAACTATTCTTATGTCATATGATATAAGTTTTCTCTCCTACACACCCTTCGATAAGTGTGTCACATTTTTCTTTTCTTTTATTTTATTTTTTCAGGTGGTGGAGCCCACTAGTTTATCTCTATGACATGAGATAACTATCTCCTTTAACATGATATTAATAAAACTTTTTTTTTTCGTTGTTGGGATTTTGCCAACTTTCCTCTCCTATTTCTTCTTTTGGTGTCTAAATAGTAATACTCATGATGGCTTGTTACAGGGAAACCACGGAAGCCAGGAGCAAATAGTTGACGAGATTCCCAAAGCTGACTTCTTCTCACCATTGTGTACTTTGAAGCAAATTACTTCCGAGGTCATTACTTAAACTTTGATATTTTATAAGCTAAACTAAACGGGGTTTGTTTTTCTCGCGCATAAGAAAATAAATTCTTTTTACACACGTTATAAAAAGATGTGTCACTTATTATTTTATTTTTTATTTTTTTTTAAATAGGTGGATTCCATATTTGATGTATCTACAACATGAGATTAGAATTCTTCTGCAACATAAGATTTATTTTTCTCAAACTAAATACATATATTTAGTTATAGGAAAATAGTTTTCTCATTTTACATGGGAAAATTTTCTCATACTACACTTACAATACATGAGTGGGTTTCATTTTGACTTTTTTTGTTTTCTCACCTTTTTGTGGATCCCACTCATGTATTGTGAGTGTAGTGTGAGAAAATTTTCTCATGTAAAATGAAAAAATTAATTCTCTTAGTTATATTAATTTTAAAAAATCAAATATAGGGGTACGTTTGTCGTTTGGCGTCTGCGTCTCTGAAAAGGTTAAATTATAGGCGTGTGTTTTATATAAAAATAAAAAATCATATAAAGTGATTACATATAATCAGATTCATAGCCATGTAAATCAACCATTTTTTTTATGTCTAATTCGTTACATATAAAGAGGAACGATATTTACCAAAAAAATAAAATAAAATAAAAAGAGGAACGATATCAACACACTATTAAACATTTTTTCTCTCAATATTTGTTTATTATTGGATGAAACTTCATGCCCACCTCATTGAATAATCTTGGTCTTCTCTTTATTATTAGTGGGTCAGCATTGTATCTAACCCAACAGATGGTGTTTATAGGAGAGCGTAAACAACTAATTAGCTCACAACCGGTTCTATCCAAAAATTGTTCTATGTATTAACATTGAAACGGAACTCAAACACATAGAATTATATGTGTAAGCAGAATAAATATCAACATTAACAATCACCTTTATCGCAAATTAGTTAAAATACGTCATAATAAATATATCATGTCATAATCACAATGAGCGCAACTGTATGTGTATGTATGATAATGGCAGATGACGTGCAAGCCTCCAGGTGAGGAAATTGCTCACAAGACAACACTAGCAATCCTCAAGAAATTGTCAAGTTATTCATGGGATGCAAAAGCTGTTCTCACTCTTGCGGCTTTTGCTCTTGAATATGGTGAATTCTGGCTTCTTTGTCTGCATCAGCCAACAGATCCACTTGCCAAATCATTGGCCACAATCACGCGAGTACCTGGGCTCACCAACTCCACAGCACTGAAAAAACATCACAATGCCATTTTGGAGCTCAACAATCTCATGAAGACCACTTGGGAAGTGATCAAGCTCATCTTGGAGTTGGAACATCTTACCTCTTATGACACCAAGGACGTGCCAGCTTTGCTACCATCCTTAGAACAAATCCCTGTAGATGTCTACTGGGCTATCATCACCATTGTAGCAATTGTTACTCAGACTGAATGCCTCACCACTGATTCGTAAGTTCAGGCTTTTAGTGAAACATGTACATGAGCTGCAATACGATAAGTTCTTTAATTGTCTAACTAGTGTCACCAATAATTGTTTCATGATTTCAGGGATCAGAGGCAGGACTTATCTCATTTTGGTCAAAAGATTAACATCATACTTAGCAAATTGAGGAAGCAGATGTTACTGTGCAAGCAACAAATTGGTAATTAGTCGCATAAAGCTTATATTTTATTTTTATTTTATCAATCCCAAATGTAAAGCTTTTTTTTTTTTTTTTTTAATCTTTTCCATTGTTATAGCATTGCAATGCAAAAGTCGTTGATTTTATGCATGATGCTGAGGAAATTATTTGAATTCTCAGAGGAAGCAGATAATAAGAAGAGACTCAAGAAAATGTTTCAAACCCCTACTGAAATTGTGGAGGTGTTTAAGTTGCTGATATTTTGGAAAGATACTCCACAGGCGCCCATCTATGACGGTGCTACTAAAACACTGGTTAGTAACATATCTTGCTTAATATGTTACAATAACTTGCTCTGTGTGTGTAAGTGTGGTTGTCTTGCTTTTTAATTTAGTTTTCTCGGATGTGTAATTTCAAAGGAAACTTTAGCATCATTGTTTAATATGGATTAATTATTTAATACAATATTTGTATTTAAAATATAATCCAAATCAAATAAAAATTAAAAAAAAGGCTTGAAAGAAATTACACTGAAAAAATTATATTTACAAATTTTTTGTTTACAAATTCTTATAAATTATATTATGTATTATGGATAGTATAATGAGAAGTTGTAAAAAAAAATTTGTAATTATAATCTGCCCAATTACACTAGTCAAAGATATAAAAAATGAATCGCGATGTTAATTTTACACAATTTAGTTTAACTTCAAAATTCTAGTTTTTCTTTACGATGGTAAGTTTTGCGCCTTGACTATTTGATTTGTATTAAAAATGTTTTGTGAACAGGTTAACATTGAAGTGCTAAAAAAGAAGAACGTGTTCTTGTTCATTTCAACCCTGGACATCACAGTAGAAGAAATCTCTCTTTTCAAACCAATTCACGATGCAACAAAATCAGGAAACGAGTACAAGATTGTGTGGGTTCCCATTGTGGAGGAATGGAATGATCAACTGCGTAAGAAATTTGAGTTTCTGAAGTCTAAGATGCCCTGGTTCGTGTTGCAGCACTTTGCACCCATAAAAGGCATCGAGTTCATAAAGGAAGAATGGCAATTCAAGAAGAAGCCAATGTTTGTGGTGATGAGCCCCCAAGGAAAGATTCTGCATCCGAATGCATTCCACATGATTCAAGTTTGGGGGTTAAACGCCTTCCCTTTCACTCAATCCATTGAAACAACACTGACCCAACAAGCAAGTTGGATTGAATCTCTGGTGATTAACATTAACCCACAAATAACCACATGGGTAAGTTATTACTTAGTCACAAATCTTATGAAAATGCTTGTTACGAATTTTTTTTTTTTTCACACATCACTACTTGAAGTTTATGTTACTTTTCGTTCAAGTAATGTACCGAGAGTTGTTGGTTTAGTGGTAACCCAATTAGATTTCAGCATTTGACCTGTTCAAGTGGTAGTGTGTTCGATTCTTGAATGTCCCAACTCTTGATAGTATATAGAGGGTCAAAGCCAAAATAAGATTAGTCGGGTACTCGGGTTTGTGACACCGGTTAATATTAAAAAAAAAAAAAACATTTGTGATCTAATTAACAAATTTTATGTTTTCCTTTGAAAAAGATCAAGGAGCAAAAGTATATCTTCTTCTATGGAGGTAAGGATAAGGAATGGATTCAACAATTCAACAAATCTGCGGGTGCCCTAGCAAATGATGCCACTCTTAAGGAGGCAAACATTTCAGTTGAGCTGTTTTGCTTGGAGTTTGAACACTCAAACGTTATTAACCGCTTTTGGAGAGGGATAGAGAGTTTGTTTGTGACCAAGATGCACAAGACAACTAACACAGTAACTCAAGAGGTGCAAAAAATGCTTTCCTACAAGAATGAGACTGGGTGGGCACTTCTCAGCAAGGGCTCTACTGTGTTGCTCGCTGGCCATGGAACCACCATTTTGAAGACAGTGGCAGAGTTTGACAAATGGAAAGGGCTGGTTATCAAGAATGGCTTTGAGGTCTCCTTTAAAGAACAACATGACAAGGTTGTTCGCACCATTCATCGTTGCTCCCACCTTGAAATCCCTAACGTTGCAGGAAAAATTCCAGACAAAATTGAGTGCCCAGAGTGTCACCGCACAATGGAAGTGTTTATAAGCTACAAGTGTTGCCACAATGAGAACACTGCTAATGCTGAGCATTAATAACGTCATGGCACTATTGCATATTCTTGTGTGTAGTTTAATTTCTCTTTCGCATTTGGAATAAGATCACTAGAACTGTTTTATGTATCATTATGTAATGTAGCCAAATAGGTCTTGCGTTATCATGATCAGAGTATTGTCATGAATGCGTTTAGAATAAGGCTATCAGTTAACCTTGTGTTATTACTTTTTATGAATAAAGAGTGAAGTAATATGTTCTATGATTTTACATTTAAAATTTCCCACTTGGTCTTCAAGCTTATTAACTACCATAATTTCTTTTCCTTTTGAAACATACCGAATTCCGTTGCCTTTAATTTTATGCGTGTGGCATCAGACCAGTCTCCAGATTTTGGATTCTTCGTTAAAGATAAATAATGTGCCAAAAATAAAAGATAAATAAAACATCAGGCGATATTATTTGCGAACATTTATAATTAATCAGGTATAACCAAAATATAGGATCAATAAAGATTAAAATTAAAATAGCAGTTTTCAAAGGGTGGTCTCTCTGACAAACAGCATGGGGATTCTGTTTGTGTTAAACGCGGGCGCTGCTCATTTGTCAATTTTTCATAGTATATGCCAACAATTGAAATGGCCAAATGAAGTGGAACATACTACATAGTTGAAACGTATACCTTCCTAATTTTCTAAAAATATTAAGGGTAACATATTTTTTGTGTCCTTAACAAAAAATATGGGACTCAAAAATTGACTTACGGTTCTTGTGAAATTCAAAATGGACCTAACTAGTTAAAATCGTGATTCCTATGAAATTCAAAAAAGATCCACATTAATTCTTAAAAAAGACTAATATGGAACTATTTTGAATTTTAGAAGAATCACAAGTCAATTTTTTTCCCTAAGAAATTAAATTGGACCCTATGATTTTTTTTTTTTTAGTAATCTAAAGGTACTTTACTCTAAGAAAAAATAATCGTCTGTTACTTTTTTTTTTTATACTCTTAATTTTTTTATAGGATAAGATATTATACTTTTTTTTTTTCATATTTACTTTATCTATTTCTTTTTTTCATATCTACTTTACCTGTCTCTTTCTGTATCGTTAACTCATAACTTCTTCATCCTTTCATTTTGCTCTCAACTTCACCATTTTACTTAACAATTGTGATATGTGCCGAGAAAAATAAATAAAATAGGTATGAAAAATAGATAGGTAAAATATTTTATGCTTTTTTGCTATATATAAATTTCACATGGTTTCACATAAAAAAAATTTGTATTTATTTATTTTTATAAATATTCACAAATAATATTGATAAAGTCTATTTATTTAACATATATATTGAAAGAGATAGACATAATTTTTATGTACTAGCTAGGTCGTATGAAATTTATCCACGCCCATTCAATACCCTTTTCCTATTACATCAACGGCGGACCCACTTAGTTGCACTTGTCTGCAACATAAATTTGGAGAAATTCTTTTTTTTTTTCCAGGGATAAGTGATTTAGATCAAGTAAAAAAAAGAAGAAGATAAAAATAGGTCCAATCCAATCAACCTCTATAATTAAAAGTTTAAAGCTTAAACTTAGCTCGTTGCTTTGTCTATTTTTTATTTATTTAAACATAAACCTTGTTAGCTCCAAATCTTAATAGACATCAACGATTCCTGAAATTCAATCTTTATCTAGTGGAGAAGAATCACACGTTATTTTTCATATTTTTTTGTGAAGCAAAAGTGGCCAACTTTGGATCAAATAGACATCCACAGAGGTAAACTTTTGATCGATTAACCCCTACAATTATACTATATTTTACAAATTTCTTTTTGTGATATTTTTTTAATTATCATTATCGATTATTTATTTAAAACTTTGGTTGATTCACCAAAACTTTACTTTTGATGTGAAAGCAAAAATTAGATCATGATTATAATCTAAAAAAAAAAAATTGGAGACGCTGCCCCTACCATAAATGTGCAAACATAATTTTTTTTCTTTTTTTTTGGAAACTGATCCTAATTACTTCTTCGAGACGAATCAGAACCCCCAGTATCCCCATGGGTTCGACTCTTTGAGCCGCCTATGGGACTAATCCAGAGTTCGGGTGCGAGTCCAAGAATTACAGTACTTATGCCCCTCCCCAGATGTTGGTGGGATTCGAACCGATGTCCTCTCCCACCACTCAGTCCCCATGCTACTAACTGAGCCGGGTATAATTTTTTTTTCTTTTCTAGGCCCGCCACTTTATTACAGAGTGGTTCTAAGCCCACCAGCAAGGACGAGGAAATTTGCATGAAGTTATAATCATAATACGAAAAGTTATCGTAGTAAATAGTAAAAAGAGATCACTCAAACGTTGCAGCACACACTATAAGGTAGTGTTTGGTAGAGGAGAAATTTTTATTTAGCAGGAAATCTCGATTTTCAAAAATATGATTTTTACATTCAGTTTACGATAATATCCAAAAATTTAAAATTTAAAAAAATTCAATTTTCCGAGAATCTTACCAAATGCCGTGTACCAAACGGCCCCTAAAGAAGCTTTATTGAAGGCTAAGGTTCAAGATTAACTGCCCCAGATTACATTGAAAACACACACCTTATTTTTAAAGTCACACAGATTTTTGTTTCTTTATTTTTTTTTCGGGTACATAGAAATCTTTATTTTACTAGAGAAACATAGTCCTAAAAGTTGCACACAACCGGAAAGCTCTCTTGGTGCCTCACTCTAGTTCAAGATACTAAACAAGCAAGCCACACTCAATTCTAGGGTATGGCATTCACGGTATTCTCATTGTGGCAGCATTTATAGCTGATGAAAATCTCCATTGTCCTAGGACACTCGGGACATTTTATGGTCTCTGGTAACTTTCCAGCAACATTAGGAATTTCAAGGGATGAGCAGCGGTGCGTGGTGCGCACAATCCTCTCATGGTATTCTTTAAAGGAGAACTCAAAGCCCTTCTTGATCACACCTTCTTTCCATTTATCAAACTCTGCCACTGCCTTCAAGATTGTGGTTCCACGACCACTTACCACCACAGATGACCCTTTGCTGAGTAGAGCCCATCCAGTTTCATTCTTGTAAGAAAGCATCTTTTGCACTTCTTGAGTCATAGCATCAACTGTTTTGTGAACTTTGGTCACAAACAAACTCTCAATGCCACTCCAAAAGCGGCTTATGAGGCTTTTATCTTCCTTTTCCACACAGAACAACTCTATTGAAATCTTTGCCTCCTTTATGATGGCATCATTTGCAAGGGTAGTCGCATACTTAGTGAACTCTTGGATCCAGTCTTTGTCCTTGCCTCCGTAGAAGAAAATGTACTTCTGCTCTTTGATCTGCATCACAGAGAAAATCACATAACCTTGCAATTAAATTTATACCAGATTATCAAAAAAAAAAAAAAAAAAAAAATTTATACCAATCCTAGTTTTGTATTTTCCCGCAAAAGATATTTCAATATTAATCAAATGACATATCTTGCAGTCAAAAAGGGTAAGTCTTAACCAACATTTTTGAATGAGCATCTGTCTATATAATATGTTCAAATTAAGGGTTTAAGTTTTCTTATGTTGTAGGATTATAGGAGATAAAAAAAGTAGAGAGAAGTTAAATGTGGGTCCCATATTTTATATTAAAAAAGAAAAAAAAATTAATTGGCACGGAAAACGAATTAGTGTAGGAAAATGATATATTCTTATGTAGCATAAGAGTATTATTTCCCTCAAATTAATTATTAAATTTATTTTTTGTGAAATTTACTTACCCAGGTATCTATGTTGGGGTGAATGTTGCTTACAACAGAGCCAACCCAATTAATTTCTCTGTCAATTTTGTCTTGATCCGAAGTTGTAAAGGGAAAAGCCTTCATTCCGTAAGCCTGAATCAAATGGAATGCGTTTGTATGCTGCACTTTCCCTTGAGGGTTCAACACGACAACCATTGGCTTCTTTTTGAAGTGCCATTCCTCCTTAATGTACTTGTACCCTGCAATGGGTCCAAAGTGTTGCACCACATACCAAGGCATCTTACTTTTCAAAACCTCAAATTTCTTGCGAAGCTGCTCGGTCCATTCCTCCACAATTGGAATCCACACAATCTTATACTGATCATTTGTTTTAATTGAATCATAAACTAGTCGGAGTACTGAAATCTCTTCCTCGGTGATGTCTAGAGTAGAAATAAACAGGTACACATTCTTCTTTTTTAGCGCAGCGATGTCAACCTATACCAGGCAACAAATGAATCAAAATTAAGGCCTACAATTGCAAGAATGATGGACTTAATAGTTAAAAGCAAATTATTTACTAATATTTAGTTTTAGGGATAATGGTTTGTAATTTTAAAGGAACTAAATTATAGTTGTTTATAACTATCTATTCCGAGTAGTATATAATTATAATATTAAAGTTGTATTTTTTTTTCTTTTAGAAACTCTCAACTGATTTGAAAAGAAAAAAAAAAATTTAATATTATAATTATATACTCCTCAAAATACATAATTATAAACAGTTAAAAAAATACAATTTAGGTCCTTTACAACAACAAACCATTTTCCTTGTTGGGCTTCTTGGTTTTGGCATTTTCTGTTGCACCCGCTCCATATTTCCTGGTCTATGATCGAGGGTTTCAGAAATATATATATATATATATGGGTTAAATATTTCTACAATCATTTTATATAAGATTGTCTACAACTAACTTTTCACACACAGCCATATATAGTGGACGAAGTGACCAATCCATCAAATATATATGAACTTTTTCATAGCATAAAATCAGAAAAATAATATCAACTTTTTTCTGTTTGGTCTATACCTGTAAATATGAAACTTAATATAAACCAAAGATTATTATTTTTATTTTTATTATATATTTTAAAATATTTAATATTATTTAATTTTAAAAGAATTATAAAAATATAGTATTATATTAACACGTGTTTTGGGAAACATTTGAATAAATATTTAAAAATATATTGAAGAAAACATTTAGAGCACATATATTATAGAATCTGATTTTATTATGGTAATAGATCTGGACAAACTTCAAATAATATTGACAAGGAGGAACAAACCATGGTCTTTGTAGCACCATCAAACAGTGGCTGTGGAGCATCCTTGGAGAAAACTAGAACCTTAAACACCTCCATTATTTCAGTGGGTGTTTGGAAAAGCTTCCTGAGCTTGCGATAATATTCTGCCAGTTCTGAAAGAATATAGACAAATCATCTAATTAATTAGCATCTTATTCACATATACACATCTCCTTCTTTTTTTTCCCTTCAGTTATAGCTTTGAAATAAAAGAACGACACTTGCTGCTTTAAGGAAAAACAAAACTGACCTATCTGTTGCCGGCAGAGCGTGATCTGCTTCCTGAGTTTGCTGAGTATGATATTGATCTTTTGACCATAGTGGGACAGTTCCTGCTTGTGCTCCCTTAAACCAATAAAATTATTGGCTAATTAAATAAACATTCTTTAAAAGTACAAATAATAAAAACGACAATTATTAAACAAGTCTTTTTGTTAAATAAGCAGGTAACTTACGATTCAGTAGTGAGGCAATCTATCTGAGTTACTATAGCCACAACAGTGACGATAGCCCAATAGACATCAACAGGGATTTGTTCTATGGAGGGCAACAAGGCAGGTACATCCTTTGTGTCATAAGTTGTAAGCTTCTCCAACTCAAACATTACCTCAATCACTTGCAACGTTGTTTTGACCAGATTGTTAAGCTCAATTATAGCTTGGCGATGCTTTTGCACTGATGCGGGCTTTGTGAGCACCGGCACTCGCTTCAGAACAGCCACAGATTTGGCTAGAAGATCTGTTGGTTGATGCTGAGCAAGTAACCAGAACTCTCCATAATCGAGTGCAAAAGCCGCAAGTGTAAGCACAGCTTTTGCATCCCATTCATAGTTTGATAGTTTGTTAAGTATGGCCAATGTTGTTTTGTGAGCAATTACCTCACCTGGAGGTTTGCATGACATCTGCCACAAATAATTCATTGTGTTACGTTCATTGAACAACTAGCCAGTCATAATTTTCTAAACTTGTTTTTAATTCACCAGTAAAGTTTATATATATATTTGCAAAATATTTATTAAGCTGCTTGAGATATATTTATTTTCGGTTATTCAAAAATTATGTCATTTTGTTTATTTATTTTTTTTATATTAATTGATTCATCCTTAAATGATTATGATTTTTTTTTTCTCTTTTTCTTTTTCACCATTGATTTATTTTTGTAAAATTATAATTTAGTGAGCGAAGATAAAAAAAAAATGATAACACTGTATATCTATTGTAATTATAATTTTGGATGTATGAATAACCTCAGAAGAAATCTGCTTCAGGGTACAGAGTGGTGAAGCGAAATTGACTTGGGGGTTATTGTCATCTATGTGTTCCAAGCTTGGTTGGGAACCCTGTGAAAAATTGATCAAGATTAAGTGCATGGATATTTGAAGGAGAAATGTGAAGTAGAAACTGATGAAGGGAAGGAAGTGAGTAAGAAACCAAAAAGGGTAGCTATAGGCGTATGTATACCTGCACAATGTTGTCAACAATTTGGGTTGAACGTCTGAGGGCGTTCTCAACAAGGGTTAAAAGAGAGGATACATCAAACTTTGTGTCACTATGGACATGGGTTGAGTAAATTTGCTCCAAAATCTGTTCATCGGACATGGTTAATGGGTTATGCTCATTCTCAGGAGTTTGGAGAAGAGTCTTGAGTGAGAGCTTGGTAGACATTATGCTCATCCTAATAATAATTACAAGAACTAGCTTGAAGGGTTGGTTTGAAAGAAATGAGGAGTTGCTGCCTTATTTATAACGTGAAAACGTGTTTCATTTTCATTTTATATTTTTTTAGGAGGGCAAATTTCATCCATGTGCATTATATTGGAGATTATTGTTTTGGAGCCCTGACGTCAAGAGGTTAACGGTGCGTGACGGATGCATCGCATATTTGCATCCTATTAGGAAAAAGAATAAACATGACTGAATTTCATTTTATTGTATTGATTCTCTGAGAGAGACAAATGTGAATATATAGACAAAAGCAAAAGAGAGAAAGAAGTTTGTTATAACAAACTCTGACGTGGCAATCTAGATAGAAAGATCTAGAATAAAAAATGAATATTTTAATTATCCTTCTTAAGATGGAAAGTGAATGTTAAGTATTCCCATCTTGGAGAGAAGGGAATGAAACTCAGTGGGATGTAAAGCCTTTGTCATCAAATTAGCAAGCTCGCGGGAAGAAGGAATATGAAATTTGCGCAGATGACCTTTGAGAATATGTTCACGAACTAGGTGACAACCAATTTTTATATGCTTAGTGCGTTCATGAAATACAGAATTAGTAGGTATATGGAGTGCAGCCTGACTATCACAAAATAAATGAGCAGGACCAGTGTGAGAGACATGTAAGTCACGAAACAATGAGAATAGCCATAATAGTTCACAAGTGGTGAGTGCCCTGGAGTGGTACTCCGCTTCAGTAGAAGAACGAGAGATAATATGTTGCTTCTTGGATTTCCAAGAAATTATGAATTGCCAAGTGAGATGCAGAAACCAGAAACAGATTTGCAGCTATCAGGACAAGAAGCCCAGTCAGAATCACAGAAGGCATGTAGTTGTAAAGCTGAAGAAGAAGAGAAGAAAAGACCCTGCCCAACAGTGGATTTTAAATAGGCTAGAACATGATGAGCAGCATGTAAGTGAGGAATCCATGGAGTAGGCATGAACTGTCTTAGGTGATTTACAACAAAACAGAGGTCTGGCCATGATACAGTTAAGTAAAGAAGCTGCGCAATAAGTCTTCGGTACAAGGTATGATCAAGTAGTAAGTTCCATTCATGTAGAGAAAGTTTGAGATTAGCATCCATAGGTGTGGAGTTGGGTTTGCAACCAAGGAAACCCGAATCATGGAGAATTTTCAAGGCATATTTACGTTGACAAAGAGATATGCCTTTGGGTGAACAAGCAATTTCTAAACCAAGAAAGTGTTTTAGAGCACCCAGATTCTTGAGTTTGAATTTGCAGTCTAGAACAGTGGTCAAATGCTGCACTTCAGGAAAATTATTAGAAGAAACTATAATGCCATTAACATAAACTAAAATGGCAACAAAGACATTAGCATGCTTCTTAACAAATAAGGATTGATCAGCTTGTGATTGAGTGAATCCAAGAGAAAGAAGAGTTGAGGAGAATTTTGCAAACCACTGCCTAGAAGCCTGTTTCAACCCATAGAGAGATTTTGTCAGGCGACAAATAGCATTTGAAGGTACCCCCTTGCTAGAATATCTAGGAGGAAGTTGCATATAGACCTCCTTAAGCAAGTCCCCATGAAGAAAGGCGTTGTTGACATCCAATTGAACAAGATGCCAACCATAAAAAGCAGTAAGAGCAAGCAATAATCGGACACTGGTGATTTTGGCTACAGGAGAAAAAGTATCGAAAAAAATCCACATCTTCTTGTTGATTGAAGCCTTTAGCTATGAGCCTGGCCTTAAAACGCTCATGAGAGTCATCTGAATGATACTTCACATTATATACCCATTTATAGCCCACAATAGATTTACCAGGAGGAAGAGTGGTGATTTGCCAAGTGTTGTTTTGTTCAAGATGCATTTTGGCTTCCATTGCAGCTTTCCATTCCAATAATTGGGAGGCTTCAGAGTAAGTAGTAGGTTAAAGGTGGGTGGAAATGGCATTGGCATAAGCCATGTGGGAAAGAGAAAGTTTGGTATAAGAAAGGTAGTTAGAGACTGGGTGAGTAGTAGAGGATGAGCAAATATAGTCATTGGGGTAAGGAGGTGATTTATTGAGACATTGTGGTCTAGTGGGGGAAGGTGAGGTAGGCTTGGGAGAGGTATAAACAGAGAAGATAGGGAAAGGAAAAGTAATAGGCGTGGGAGGTGCAAAAGGGAAAATATCCTCAAAAAAGTGAATATCTCGCGAAATGAGGATACAATTGGAATGAATGTCTAATAATTTATATCCTTTATAGCCAGGTGGATAGCCAAGAAACATAGCAGGGAGAGATCGTTGTGAAAATTTATGGCTAGTTTTTGGTAAGGTGGTGTAATAGCAGATAGGGTTGGAAAAAATGAGCCGAGTTGAATTGGCAAAAATGAGCTATCAACCCGAGCTAGTTAGGAAAAAAACGAGCCAACCTGTGGGTCAAATATGGCAGCTCTTTTTTTTATAAAAAAATACAAAATATAATATACAAAAATGGACAAAATGCACACACGCTGTCATCGTCTTTCTTTCTTCTCTAAACCTAAGTCCCTAATTTTCTCACATCGCTGCCATTTTTATATTGTTAAACTGTGCTGGCTCTGTTTGGTTCAAATATCTTACTCACTTGATAGCAAGTGGTTTTGATTGTTTTTCGATGTTGGTGCAAATTTATTGTGAAGAAAATTCGAAACTAGAACATTTTGGTTTTACTTTCTCATTTTGTAACTTTCTATTTTGCTTTTTTTATAAACTATTCTGTAAGACAAATGTATTGTTTAAGCTGATGGAAGTCGCATAGTTGGTGCATTAATACTACAGGTTCATTCAAATAGGCTGAAAACGAGCCAATCCGTGAGCCAATTTTTCAAGCCAACCCACGAGTCATATTTTTGAGCCAACCCGCGAGCCAACCCTAAGCGAGCTCGTTTCGGGTTGGGTTGAGTTTTCTGACTCATTTTTTTTCCGAGCCAACCCTAACCCGACTCATTCTTTTGGGTTGCTTGCGGGTTGGACCGGGTTGGATCGTTTTGCCAACCCTAATGGCAGAGACAATCAAAGAAGCGATGGTGATCATATGCAGGTGGCTTATGACAGAGAAGTTCAAAGGGAGTTTTGTTGTGTAAGAGGGGTGAAGGAGTGCAGTTGATGAGCTAAATGACTGTGAGAACACACTCTGTCTAATAAACCAAGAGAATATGAGATTGAAAATGTAAAGCTCGGTCAACATTCAAAATGTGTTGGTGTTTACGTTCAACAACTGAATTCTATTGAGGACGATCAACACAGTAGTGAAAGTCTTGAATACCTTTAGAAGAGAAGAAGGAAGACAAATAAAAGTTTGGGGCATTATCACAGCGGATGGACTTTATGGAGGAATTGTACTAATTGAGCATAAGTGTATTGTAACACCTCGTATATATCCGGTAATGTTATCATACTATCGTATTAAGCTGCGCTTAATTAAAAATGTGGAATATCTTTTTCATTTCAATTATGATGTCATTAATCATTACCAACTTGATTACTTAACCATTTTCAAAACATCGCTTGTATGTACATTGCAATAAACAGCTAACTGAAATATCTCATTAATTAAAATAACATAACTATGTCTCTAGTCACGGAGCTACAACACGTAGACCAGACCAACTAGCAGTTTATACAACTCAACTCAAAAGTACTAACAACATGGTGGCATGGACAACTCTCATGCTCACCCCAAATAAGGCAACAAAGCCCACAAAAGTCTCAACTCAACAGCAACATAAAGATAAAGGCGGAAAACATAAACTGCATCCAATCCAATCATGCCAGCATAATATGAACAACACTAAACATCAACTAAGCTCTGGCCTCCTGCCGTCAGAGACAACAATCCCAATACTACCTGAACCTGAAATAAGCATTCCCCAAACGTGGGGTGAGATCTCTAAACAAGAAATCTCAGTAAGGCAAGGGTCCTTAAGGATCTTTCACCCCAAGCTCACTTACATGTGCAATATAAGTTCAAAAACAGTTTATCATCATCAGTTCTAAAACAGTGCAATGCAGCAGATAATCATGTCATGTGTGTCAATTCTATTCTACTGGCCAGAGAAATGGATGATTTATATACGCCAAGTACCCACACATAGTGCAAGACGCCACTTGCATCCACCCCGGATCACCGTCTTGTATGACGCCACATACTCAGGCTTACCGTCAAGATGGAACAACACATGCATATTAAAAGCCATTACACATAAAGCTCAACCTCATTTCAAATATCCAAAGCATGTAACACAACATGCATATAACCATACCCCCATGGGACATGGTGGAACCACAACATGGCTAAACCGAGGACACGAAAGCTTACCTTGCAAGCTAACACTCCAAGCCAAGAGTCCAACCAATCCTCAAAGTCCAAACACAGCAGAATCACAATCTGATATGGACCAATAATAAATCAATAAACATGCACTACAAGCATTCAACAAAAGACAACGCCTTTCCTTTTACGTTTTACGTCTTAAGGCTCACACAAAGCCACAAGCCCTTAATCACTTGATTCTGACTTAGGTCAATTAAAACAGAAGTTCAACTTCATCAACCTAGGGTCCACAAACCCCCAATAGCCTACTGTATGAACAGTGTAGCTACTGTTCTTCGAAATTCCAGAATATCCGGATATTCGTCGGGGGCACATCCGGATATCAATATCCGTATCTCTCTCTTCCAATATCCGGATATCTCTCTTCCAATTCAAACCAAAGGTCCAACTTTTACCGATTACAGAAGCCTAAACATGCATTTCTAGGTATGTTTAACCTTAACCACCCTTAAGTTGTTAACTTAGCTCATTGCATGCATCAAGGTTCCATTTTTTAAGCATAAAACTCAAACACAAGAGTGGTGAAGCTTACCAACAACTTAAAACAGTGGGAAGAATGCTCTTGGAGCTCACTAAACTGACTCCACAGTTCTGACTTGGTCCCAAAATGAAAATGACACACCAAGGTTGGTTCTTTCTC